CTGGTTAAGGTTTGGGTTTTCTGACAGACATAGATGGCATCTAAGCATTCATGATTGGTGCTCTGAGCCCACTGAGAACTCATGTGTATTGCTTATCTAGTGCTGCATATCAAATTAGCCCCAAATTAGTGGCTTAAAACAACAAACCTTTATTATTTCATAGTTTCTGTAGGTCAAGGATTTGAGAGTCTTACCTGGGTGGTTCTGGCTCAGGATCTGAGGAGGCAGTAAGGATGCTGGCCAAAGCTACGGTCAAATGCTTGACTGGGACTTCCAAGGGGGGCACACACACATGGTTCTTGTCAGGAGGCCTCAGTTCCTTTCCACATGAGCCTCTCCATAGGCTTCCTAGGTGTGCCCATGTCATTGCAGCTGGCTTCCCCCAGAGCAAGAGACCCAAAGAGACAGCAAGTTAAAAGCCACAGTGCATTTTATGACCTACCTTTGGAAGGGATGTACCATTACTTGTACCATATTCTACTGCTTGCAGAGACCAACCCTGATTCATTGTGGGAGGGGACTTCACGAAGGCATAAATACCAAGAGTCTGGGGTCACTGGGGACCACCTTGGAAGCTATTGTATCCAATGATGATATAAAATTCACTTATTATTTCAAATAGCCTGGATTCTTATGGATTCTGTATGTATACAATCATAACATACATGACTAATCACAATTTTATTTTTGTTTTCCAATCATTATACCATTTACACTTTATTTTACTTCTGCCCTAAGACCTCCAGTATAATGTTGAATAAAATAGTGAGAGGGGACATGGTTAGGAGCCTTTTGAAAATCCAGGTACTCAGTTCTCATCTCCTCAAAATTCAGTAAGTCTGTGTTGGGGGCCTGGAGAGTTTACATTTTAACAAGTGTTCTAAGTGATGTTGGATGTAGGGATAGCCTAGAAACACAATTTGAGTAATATTTTTAAAGGATAATCTTCACTCATCTGAAGTGTTGTTGTTTTTTTTGTATTAGGATGGAATATTGCACTTTCTTCTCCTTCCCACCTCCATCCTCTTCAATACTAGTGATGGATGTATAAAATATTATTTGTTTGTGCACTTTATTGTGCTGTCTCTTCTTCTGGCTCTAGCTTGGGATATAACATGCATGAAAGAGTCTTCAGTATTAAAATGTTGACTGGCCTAAGGAAAGGGAAGGGAAGGGAAGGGAAGGGAAGGGAATCAGTCCTCATCCTGAGTTAGTATTCATATTCAAAAGAAAGTAATCTTAACAAAAAATACTATATTTTGAAGTTGTTGATGTCACAGTTGAATTCATTCCTTTCTATACACACACGCACATCCATACATGTACACACACAATCATATGGGTTTTGCCTCATGATAGAAATAGTATGAGGGAAAAAATAGATTCTAAAGGATGTACAGTTACATAAAATAGACTTGAGTACTATAAAATTCCTTGAAAGAAGTATGGATACCACATGATTTCCTAAATATGATTAGTTATAAATTTAAAAAGCAATGTATTTTCTTAGATGAAGAGATAAAATATGCCATGGATACTTATAGAAAGAGTGGAGATACAAGAATAGCTGCAAATATTCATAGAGTATTAGAAGTAGGCAGTGTCTTAAGATCACTTTATCTGACCCTTGCGTTTTTATAGCTGAAGTGATTGAGACCCATCCTGGTAGCATGAGTGGCTTGTCCAGTGTTAATTAATGGTAGTGGTCCTACTGGGAGCAGCACCCATTATCCCTGATTCGCACTCCAGGGCTCTTCTCCTGATGTCAGTCAGATATTTTATGATAAGAGGTCATATATATGAAAGGAATCCCAGAGAATAAAGAATATGAAAATATTGGGACAAGCTCACAAAAGTGAATCTTTCATACAGGATAAGAGGGAAATACATGAAATGAGACTGACTTTGTAAGGGAATTGTTAGAACTAAGAAAGATGTGAGAAAAGAGAGACAACGTGAAAAGAAAATGGGAAAGAAATAGATGAGACAGACAAAGATGACAATAAATAAGGGAAGCCAGAAAAATATGGAGGATCACAGAAATGAAAAGGTGACAAAATAATTCAAGAACATGAACATAGATGTAGTATGTTGTCATTTTTGTAAATATTATATCTATGTAGAATTATATCAATAAAATAGTCCACAATGAAATAATACGAAAGTGCATTTAAACTCTTTTGAAGAAAGGTACATGTAAAGTGGTAGTAATTTTAAGTTCCTAATGCTCTAAAATGTTGAATGAATAAGAAACAGAAATTCAGAGATATACTTCTCTATATTAAGAATCATTAAGAATCATTGATATGTAAAATTATAGAAACCCCAGGGAACACTAAGGCTATGTATTCCTTCAAATTTATTTATTTATTTATTTATTTATTTATTTATTTATTTATTTATTTATTTATTTGAGACATGGCTGATGAATGCTCATACAAGGGGGTAGGGAATCCTGAACATTTCAACATTTTGAACAATCAAATAGCACTGCAATAATTCAAAGAGAGGTATAGTTTATACAGTATTCAGATTGTTTGAGTTTATTTCCTTCCTTTTGCACTTCGTTAAGAGCCTGAACCTAAATGTTATAATCATAATATTGGTTTGCAGCCTGATTAGTCATGGTTCATTTGATGAGCCAAATACCTCTGTTGTGCCTCCTGGGATAGGAGGCATCCATTTGTAATCTATGTTTAACAGAGATAAATGGGACATAATCATGAGGCAAGAGTCATGGAAAAGTGAATTTAAAATATGGCTAGTCAACTAAATATACATACTTAGCAAATCAATGTACTGGTTAAGGACACTGGATTTGAAATCAGGCAGACTTGGATTTGGTCCCCAATTTAACTACTCATTAGTTATGTAACCCTCATCCACTCCCTTTTCTCTTCTCTACTTTCTCCTTCCCTTCCTCTATCCCTTTCCTCCCTTCCTTTATTAAAAAATATCTATTGAATGTTTATTGCATACTGGGTTCATGCCATAGACTAGTGGGCCAGTTATCTCACATTCCTGAGGGAGAACATGGAAAGTTTGTAGGAAAGAAATCTGTGATGTGCAGCACAAGCGAAAGTGCAGATGCAGAAAGGAGCCAGGCTTTGGGGACAACTCCACGCAGAATGAAGGTAAATAATAGGAGATGAATTTGAAAAGACAGGTTGAAATCAGGTTGTGAAGGGCTTTGGATACCAGGATAAGTAATTTCAAATTAACCACAGAGAGTTGGCTAACAATTAGAAATAAAGTGGTTAGAGAACTAGTCTAGTACAGAAAGGCCAAAGGAGAAGGTTCCAAAAATAATAGATTACTACATACTTTAAAGAGGCCAAGGAAGAAAGGGATTTAACTGTTAGAAGGATGTTGATGACCTTTAAAATAACTTTGGTTGGGTGGTAGTGTTAGAAACCAGTTGTAGGGATGAAAGGAGGGAACTGGGAGTGAAAAAATGGAGCCTCTGGGGGCAAGAGTTCCACAGGAAAGTTAAACAGAATGGGAAGGGAATAGTATGATAGAGATTGAGGAAGCAACAAGGCAAAGGGCAATATATTTTTCCTAAGATCAAGAATTACTACCTATGTGTGAAGTTAAGAGACCAATGGAGAGACTGAAAATTCTAGGGTTCAAGAATACAAGCTGAGAGTTAGAACTGACAGCTGAAGTGGACAGGGAAGTCTTGCAGTCAGAGCAGTACTTCCTCCTCTGAAACTGAAGGGCGGGACTTGACACTGAGATTTTCTTTGTAGCAGGGATGGAATCAAGGTAACATTTATCTGTGTACTCTGGGTAGGCTCTTATTAAAAAGAGCAGAGGCAACATCAGGCCACAAAAGGACCAAGTGACTGAAGCTGCAGAAAGACAAACATAAAAGAGTTTAGCCCATCAATAGTTCCAGTAAGAGCATCAAACCATTCTGATTCACACTCCAGAAACCTTTCTAGGTCCGTCTGCTGTGTAACATGGAAGGTTGCAGTGCAAACATTCAAAGAAATGTAAACTGTCCTTGATCTGCTCCTCTTTTTCAGAAACAATGGTACAGGGTTATAGAGACTACAGGTCCAGTCCAAAGACTATTATCTGTACTCTAAATCACCAAATAAAAACTTGAAGGTTAAATGAATGGACGTTTATGTAAAGATAAACTCATCATAGAAGTTACTGGTTGTAAAAGAGGGCCACTCAGATCTGTGTGAATATGCCTAGTCTACATTCAAAATATCAACTCTAGAAATGTTGCTGCCAAACTGCTCTTAAACTTGTATACACTTTTCCTCTACCCTCCACCTCCAGGGCTCAAAGGGGCTGGTAAGAGCATTTCAGATCTGGCTCTACCTCTGTTTGAGCTCTGCGTTGGTCAAGAGGGAGTAGAGGGGTGCTTTGGGTGCAGTGACCTCCTCAATGACCAGCTGGGCCTAAGCTTACACCCAGGAGTGATAATTTATGCAAGGAAATCTGAAGCAGGTGTACCTTGCTGGGCTAGAGAATCCTGTGCGTTAAGGATACCCTAGTGTACACTTGAAGAGCAGAGTAAGTACATTTGGCGGGAGAGGGCACAGTGCTGACTGGGCATCTTTGCTTTGGAGTCTTTTCCTTCGCTTTAGCCTATCTGTGCAAAGAGCTTTAAACTGGGGCTGCAGGCAGGAGGGAGGGTGTCAATCCGGAGCACTGACCGGTTGTTGGCCCTGTGACTGGGAGAGGAGTTAGGGGGAGCCCTGAGCGCCAGCCAGGGATAGCCTGCCTGATCTCTGCTCCAGTCCACAAATCCTTAACGGATTTTCTTTCTCTCCCCTCACCCTTTTCTCCCCTTCGGTTTCTTTCTTTCTCTCTTTCTCTTTCTTCCTTTTTCCCTCTCTTTTCCCCCTCCCTCCCCATCCCTTTTCCCTTCCTCTCCCATCCCCCTCTCCCCTCCCCCTTTCCATGTGTGTGAGCCTCTTCCTTTCCCCTCCTCCCCTTTTCCGCCTGTCTCCCTCTCTCCATCTCCTTCTCCCTCTCAGCTCGCCGGGCGACCCTGCTTCTGCCTCCCACATTAATGGCGGCATCTTCGGAGGATGATATAGACCGGCGGCCCATCAGAAGAGTCCGCTCCAAGAGCGACACGCCATACCTCGCAGAGGCCAGGATCTCCTTTAATCTAGGGGCAGGTAAGGATGACCCTCTTGCCTTGCTCTCGCCCCCACCTCGCGTCCTTCCTTACCTTTCCTCCTCACCGGCTAGCTCAGCCCCCTGCCCCTCCTTTGGTCCCCCCTTCCTGGCTGAGCCCTCCCCTCCCACCCCACTTCCTACCCAGCCCTGCGCTGCCGGGTGCGCTCACTCACTCGCTCTCTTTGTGTCGCCGGTGTACAGAGGGGTGTGTGTGTGTGTGTGTGTGTGCGCGCGTTGGGGAGTGGGAAGGTGGGGGAGGGTAGTGCAAAGAGCTCTACATTTGCTCAGGAGTCACATGCGGGCTTTCCTCTTCCATGAAGAAAAGAAAGTGTTGCCACTGATAAAACAATGATCATAGGAATAACCAGGAGCTGGGTCAGGATGCTGAGAACGCGCTGGCTGTGGGAGGAGGGTCTGGCCAGGCTCTGCTGGTGAGGTTTGCTGGTGGGGCTCCTACGGAGTGGGTGGAACTTGTTGGTGACATTCAGACTTGAGTGATTTTGCCTGATTAATACCAATGCTGTGGTGCTGAAGTGTGGAGAGGGGGTGGGGTGGACAGCTGGGAACAGGACCTTTTCCTTTTACCAAGCAGTTGGTAAGCAACCATGGTGATGATAATAGTAATAACATGGTCTATAGGACACATGTTAGGTGATTTGATGGTGCCACTGGAACTGGTGCCCAAAGTTGCCCAGAGAGTGTTAAATGAAAAGAGTAACTGAGGTAGAGGAGGGCGGGAAGGAAGGAGGGAAGAAGATGGGAGACTAGGGAAGAAGGGAGGAAGGAAGGAAAGAGCAATAGAGCAGACTAAGGGATTCAGAGTCACATTGCTGGAGTTAAGACCTCTCAAGGTAACCTGGTAAGTACCCAATGTCTGCTGTCCCCACTGCTGCTACTGCTCGATTCACAGGCAGATCTCACCCCTCATTACTAGTAGATGGTCACTACCCCTGGGAGAAAGTTGTTCACTTCTAACTTCACAGTGCTGCCTTCTTTAAATGACTCCTAAGCCTCCACCCTAGCTGTGTCTCTTCCTTTCTAGAGTCCCTTAGTATCTTAGCAACTCCAACAAAAAGAATGAGGGCATTTTTCTGAAGACCCTCTTTCAAAGTAAGTTAGAAAATCAGAAGATACCATTTTTTTTAGGATACTAAACCTTTGAAAATGGAACTAAATCAAACAAAGTGTGTGTGTTGTACGTGTGCTGTAGCGAAGAAAACCTTCAAATGATGAGTATTTTATACACTATCGTGAAGAATGGACAAAAGAGAAAACCTGCAGAGAGAAACAAAATGTGTTCACTAAGCATCCATGTCTTTCTGACTGAGAGAATGGCAACTGGATGTGCCAAAGTAGCCAAGTTCCTTGGAGTGTAATTTCCCTGCCTTGGTGATTTTGGTTTTCTAATTATGTTTTCTTATCACTCCTGGGATGTTTCTTTCTGGATTTGGGGTTGGGGAAAGAGGACTTTATTGGGAGAAGCTTAGCCAGTTTTTGTGGTGTGCTGTAGTAGCCTATAGTCTCACTTCGGAACTGTTAACCCTCCACTTGTATGTTCCAGATTCCGGATAAGGTTGTGAGGGATCTTAGAAAGGACTGAGAAGAGTTTCTTTTAGGAGCAAGACTGTTTTGCCACCCAGTAATATTAGGACTTATTCTCTTGAGCCCTTGGCTATCACACTCTGGTATGTTCCCAAAGTGTCTTTGGGAGGAAAACGGCTGAAGCAGCAGTTAGTAAAGGCTATTTACCTTCTACTAGTACTTTTACAACAAAACTATGAAAGAGAGCACTACAAAAAGTTTCAAGTTTCAGCTATTACTGACTTACATTGAACTATTTTGCCACCCAGCGATTTGCAATCTTTTATTCTGGTTAAATTGCTCTAGAGGCCAATTAAACGATTGGATTTTTCAGAAAGGATGTGTCTCCCTTTCATCTGGAAATAACAAACCAAACAAGTTCTCAGTCATTTCCATGTGTCCCTTAGAACACCCTTAAAAGCAAGGTGTCCAGAAAGACGCCAGCAATAAAGAGAATGCTGTGGAGAGGACGCTGGTGAAGGAGGGGGGTGCAGTCGCAAGCAAGGGCTGTGTTCCGCGGTTGGGGAGCTGTCCTCTCTCGTTGGTGCTGAAGTGAAGGACTGTGTGACAGGGACGTGACTGTAAGGCGGACAGCGGAGGGAGGGGTGCTCAGTCTCTCGGTGATGGAATCCCAGGGAGAATGCGGAAGATCTGGCCACCGAAAACTTTTCTATCCTTGCCCATTTTTATTTGTCGCCTGTTTACTATGCCTCACGCCTACTGCTCCACTGCTCAAATCTGGCGGTTTTGCTCTAATTTTGTGCCGGCTGCTCACTCCTAGGGCTTTGTTTATTTTCCAGCTGGTTTTTGGTTGCTTCCCTGACATAGTAAGATCTACTTGCAGATGTGCCTTTCCCCGGCGTTTAAAAGTAATTGTAACCCCTGGTTTAAGAAGCAAACAGCCTTGTTTATCTCCTTAAGCAGCAAGTTGTAATTAAACTATTAGTGTCGTTATCAGTGTTGCTGAACAGAGGAGCCTACACACTGAATAAACTACATAATTTGGGCATAGAGAGAATTTTGTTTGTCTCTTAACAATTTATAAAAAATTAAGCAAGGAAGCTTTCATCTGCACTTTCTTCCCACTCTTCTCCTACTCCCAAACAGTCACTTATTGTTTATTCTTTCCAAGGGAATTCTTATTGGTTTAAACTATTTATGTTTAATATTTGCTTTCTCATACCCACTTATTATATATAAGTCCATGTTTAATGCTTTAGAGGTTTGATAATTCTTCAAGGAAATCATACATATAAAATATATATAATTTCACTTGGATATCATGAAATCATTTTGTATACCAGCTCTCTTAAACTAATTTATACAGTTGCCAAATAAAGTGGACTGGGCATTTTGAATGCTAATTAAATACTTAAGCATTTCTTCATCTATACCCTGTCCCTGGTGGTATTTAATAATATCATTTCAGAAATAATTCCACAGTTTGAGTAAAGGATATACTCCTTCAACTACAGTCTCCAAGCCAGTCAAAGAATACCACCAAAATGTGGGTCTTTTATAACTTTATGAAGATGTTAATTTTAAAGTTCAGCCTAAATTGAGACAATAGAGAACAGAAATTTTCTGAACCATGACTTTCATTATTCTAAAAGAGCTCCTTTTGTAGGTCTTTAACTTCTATTTAGCATTTAGCATATTATGCAAATATTGATAGCTGATTGTTTGCTGAAGATAGTACAAATGCTAGAGAAAGCCAAGTAAATGTATTGCTTAAAGTTACCCAGACACATCAGACTTCATTTAAAACATTGGAAGAGGATTTCCCCCGCCTGAGAATTTCAAATGTATTAAAAAGACACCGTGTATCAAAAGAGTATGTTCACACTATTAGTAGCAAGTGTTTCTAATTGTGTTCTCACTTAGCAATGAACATCATTGACATTTAGTTCCTAAGAACTTAGCCTGCCATGTGAGGTCATTCATTCACTACATTGAAGCGAATGAAATTAAGAGTTGCTGCTCATCTGCAGATATCTTCCTATGGGCTAGTGCACTGTATTTTTATATACATTGACAATATATAGAAGAATATTCAATTCATAGAAGGTGCTGAAACAAAAGTTTTTTGTCATTACACAGTAAAATGAATGAAAGTGTTGCGGTAAACAGAGGATTTAAGCACATCTAAAATTTCTTAAAGGGATGCCAAAAGAAGGAAAGCAAGCTATACTGATGATTTAGGACTATTTAAAACACAAAACCAACATTGGACACTTTTGAGAAGAATAGTGCTTTTCTAATCATAAGGAGTTTTAACTTTGTTGACATTTCAGAATTGCTTTGTATGGGGGAGATTTTAAATTAATAGCATGGTTAACCCCAGCATACTTATTCTCCTTGGAAGGCTGAGATTTGTTTTAGTTCCTGATGTTACCCAAGTATAGCTGTTTCTGACTTCCATTGGTCTCTTCCACTCTTTCAGGCCCAGAGGATAATGAGAGTGAAAATTGGCTTGCTCTGGGCTACCCATAAGAATGCATGGGTCAGCCAAATTAAGTTATAAACTGGGTCTCAGGAAATCTCTTTCCTGCTTTTCTTGAGGTAGAAAACTTCTATTCCTTAGCTAAATTATGGAGGCCCATGATATTGAGAAGTGACAGCCCATAATGTGCTATCATTACTTGTAATGAGAACTGTTCCTGGGAAAAATTGTGAGTATTTTCATGCTGAACCAAGATTTTCACCAATCTGAAGGCCTTTGTAAGCATCCTCTTTCACTGTTTCACTGTTTCACTGAAGAATGCCAATGTAGCTCTCTCTCTGGCTCTCTCTCTGTCTCTGTCTCTGTCTCTCTCTCTCTCTCTCTCTCTCTCTCTCTGTCTCTGTCTCTCTCTCTCTCTCTCTCTCTCTCTCTCT